CTCGTACTCCTAATGAAAAGCCAGCTATCAGATTGGTAGACCAGTGGTAGACCGTGAAATAGAACAGAAACATCGTGGTAGAACGTCAAGTAGAACAGAAACATCGTGGTAGACCGTCAAGTATGAAAGAAACATTGTGGTAGACCGTCAAGTATGAAAGAAACATTGTGGTAGACCGTCAAGTAGACCGTGAAGTAGACTGTCAAGTAGAACAGAAACATCGTGGTAGACCGTCAAGTAGACCGTCAAGTAGACCGTCAAGTAGACCGTCAAGTAGACCGTGAAGTAGACTGTCAAGTAGAACAGAAACATCGTGGTAAACCGTCAAGTAGACCGTCAAGTAGACTGTCAAGTAGACTGTCAAGTAGACTGTCAAGTAGACCGTCAAGTAGAACAGAAACATCATGGTAGACCGTCAAGTAGACTGTCAAGTAGACCGTCAAGTAGACTGTCAAGTAGACCGTCAAGTAGACCATCAAGTAGACTGTCAAGTAGAACAGAAACATCGTGGTAGACCGTCAAGTAGACGGTCAAGTAGACTGTCAAGTAGACCGTCAAGTAGACTGTCAAGTAGACCGTCAAGTAGACCGTCAAGTAGACCGTCAAGTAGACGGTCAAGTAGACTGTCAAGTAGACCGTCAAGTAGACCGTCAAGTAGACCGTCAAGTAGACCGTCAAGTAGAACAGAAACATCGTGGTAGACCGTCAAGTAGACGGTCAAGTAGACTGTCAAGTAGACCGTCAAGTAGACCGTCAAGTAGACCGTCAAGTAGAACAGAAACATTGGGGTAGACCATCAAGTAGACCGTCAAGTAGACCATCAAGTAGAACAGAAACATCATGGTAGACCGTCAAGTAGACCGTCAAGTAGACCGTCAAGTAGACCGTCAAGTAGAACAGAAACATTGGGGTAGACCATCAAGTAGACCGTCAAGTAGACCGTCAAGTAGACTGTCAAGTAGACCGTCAAGTAGAACAGAAACATCATGGTAGACGGTCAAGTAGACCGTCAAGTAGACTGTCAAGTAGACCGTCAAGTAGACTTTCAAGTAGACCGTCAAGTAGACCGTCAAGTAGACCGTCAAGTAGAAGAGAAATATTGGGGTAGACGGTCAAGTAGACCGTCAAGTATAAAAGAAACATCGTGGTAGACCGTCAAATCGAACAGAAACATTGGGGTAGACCATCAAGTAGACCGTCAAGTAGACCGTCAAGTAGACCGTCAAGTAGACCGTCAAGTAGAAGAGAAATATTGGGGTAGACGGTCAAGTAGACCGTCAAGTATAAAAGAAACATCGTGGTAGACCGTCAAGTAGACCGTCAAATCGAACAGAAACATCGGGGTAGACCGTAAAGTATAAAAGAAACATCGTGGTAGGCAGAAACATTGCTGTTGACCATCGTGTGGACCGGTACATGTATCGAGATGGGTTTCACTCGCTGGGACATCAGGGAAGTCAAATCAAAATGTAGGCTATCTACTTTTGAGAAAAATGAAACAAAGCATTACCTATTAAATAGACACTAGATCTAAGATAAACTAAAGAGCTGGTCGGCACTGGGTTGTTTTGGTTTGTTTTTTGTTGTGGTTGGGTTTTTTTTCTGTGTTCTGCATAGATCTACTTCTCGCTACAAACCCCCCCCCCCAAAAAAAAAAAAAAAAAAAAAAACACACAAAAAACAAACAACCAAAAACAACAACAACAAAACAACAACAAAAAACAACCAAACGAAAACATAAAACAAGTCGGTGTAGAAAAATGCATTTTCGTGGAAATTTGCAATGCCCAGGCCTCGAACACCTTGCTATCTCTGAATCACTCGGGGAAATAGATCGCGAAATAGAAAAAGGTAGACCAAGAAAAACTTAGGACATCCCCATCTTGTACTTCGAGGGGATAGGCTAATTTAACTAATTAATTATAGCCTAGAATCTATATCTATAATTTGTGCTTGCGACTGAAATTATACAACATTCTCTTTGAGCAGGGAACTGAGGTTTTCTTTTCAGTTGTCCAAATTTCATTAGTTGTGTAATTTTGAAGTCCAGAGATAGGCCCGAGACAAAATATTATGAAATTATCAAAGAAGGAATTACAAGTCCTCGATTTCCATTGAGTACGGAAAACGAAACTTTCGCCGTAACTGCTGGAACTGCTAGGCTATAAAATAACTTCCATGCCTAAACTCCTTGCTTCCATGGTGTATATGTAGTATTGTGTAGGTCGTTGATTCACTTTTTTTCAGCTAATGTTTTGAAATTATTTTTAATAGTGTTGTGTTGTTGAGATCATGGTTTCTGTTCTAGATATAGATCTAGATTTAGATCTAGAGCTGTAAGGCCTACTGTTATATTAAATACTCACATTATTTGCAGGCTCCAGACATCAGACTTGAAACAAGTTTTTAGCCGATAAAGGCAGGTAATTATGACAATATAAAGGCTATACTACTATAGGCCTAATCCATAGCATAATTAGAGACATTTTTCGCATGGGTTCACTTTGGTCTGACCACTAAATCTAGATCTAGATCTACTTTGACTTTAGATTAGAATCTAAACTTTTAGACCGTAACGTTAGATCTAGAATCAAGATCTAGATTTAGACAAGTTAGAATCTACGGCAATTGTCAAGATTTCCACGTTTAATTCCGATGTGCGTCTTTCATAGCCTCAGGCATGTTTCGCTTTGGTCCCTAACCCTAACCCTAACCCTGACCCTGACCCTAACCCTGACCCTAACCCTAACCCTGACCAGGGTTAGGGTTAGGGTTAGGGACCAAAGCGAAACATACCTGAGGCTATGAAAAACGCACATCGGAATTAAACGCGGAAATCTTGACAATCGCCGTATCTACTAGATATAGATTTAGATTTCTAGATCTAGATCTACTATTATTCAGTCTCATACTGTGAGAACGTTAGTGAATTTAGACTAGATTATATACTGACAAGACTAGAAGATTTGTGTGCAGTTGTACAGTGGGGGCTGTGTACAACAACAAGGGGATAGTTAGAGAACGTTAGGAGTAAGCCATTGGCAGATATTTATATTATAGTAACAGCCATCTTTTTTTTGTGTCCTAAAATAGTGTTCTTCATTCTGACCTTGACAAAAGACAATAGAAGTTCTAGACCCTACTGTCTCACTGTCTGATCTGAAAAAACCCAAAACAACCAAAGTGACTATTTCTCTGAGTGAAGGCTTGGGAAAATAAACTGACCTCTATTTCCCTGAACAGCTTCTGAACTCTTCTCAAGTTTTATAGGTTATTTGAGAGATTTCGGCGTCATCTTTCATTCTGCCATCTGTGAGGACTTGAAGGAAGCATTTTTTGCATCGAATTTAATTTCTAGAGCTAGGTTCTAGAGATTTTTAAATGTCATGAAAAAGTAGAGGATGTTAGATGTTGTTAAATTATGGAATCACACACAAGGAGCCTGCTAGTTACAGTATTCGGTTATGTTCTAAGCACGCTTTAAGATAACACATTTATATTTAATATCTTTTTTTAAAAGTGGGAACAACATCAAATTAAATGACATTACGAATGTAAACGCAAAAAATAGAAAAACAACACATCAGAACAATAACAGAGCTACGAAATTAACACACCAACAAATTAAAACACAACAAAGAGGGAAAATATAAAAGACTAACAGCAATATAAATAAGGATGACCTTATTTAGGCCACATATGGCCTAAATAAGCTAAACCCCCCTCCCTTACCTTATTTAGGCCTCACCTGTGGCCTAA